AATTGAAATAACAATGCAACAATGAATCAGAAAAATATCTGGAAAAAATTTACCTGCCATCAAAACTGCCATAATTGGACCAGGAGGAGCCAAGAAGGGTAGAGTTGAGGAATACATAATTATGCATTGTATGACTTTATAAAACAACCATGCAAAAATGCCATTTTAAGTTATTTTATAGAAAGACTGGAAAAGCTGAGTGATGGATTTTTCGGGATGGGCCATGAAGGATCACACACAAAGACAGGTTTCCATGGTCAGGATAGATGCATACTCTGTCCATGCAGGGGGCACCATATTCTGTACACTGAACACTGAGAGAGGCTAACTGCCAACAGTTAAATGACTGCTGATTGAAGGATAGACTTTCTGTCACTCTCAAAATCATTGAAAATAATTGGATTGACCCTCTGATTGGCCCAGGAGAACTTCTCACACAGATGCATTGACCCAATCTCTCCATAGTCATTTTCTGACAGTAGTTAGGTTGCTTGTATTTAATTGGACGGGAGAGATGAAAAAGAGTGGAGTTATATATTCAGAACCATGTCTATCTTGAGATGAATTCCCTCCTGGCATGTATGACCTGGGGTCAGCCTCATGCTGACCAGTTGGAAATTTTCCAAAGCCATTTTTCAAACACTGCTTTTAAGTATCCTGTCCTGCAAACTTGGGGTCCCAGATAACCAGACGACACAATTGCCATGAGCTTTCTAAACTCATTTATTTGAGAAAGGAAGAATTGGTCTAAACCTCTCTGTCTAACCTGTCTATGTGTTAAGCACAACTGAAACAGCAAAACCTCCTCATTACAAATGGAAATGATAAAAGTTTCTTTGGCTTTAGAACTGAAGTGAAAAAAGACCAGCTTGAGAAGAATGCCCTACAAGCTTTCTCAATGTAATAATAGAGGTGGTGAGCACACAGAGTCCTTACAGATTGGTGGTAGGAGAGTAAATGGTAGTCATCTTAGAACTCATCTGATTAAAATGGAAAGCTAGCATACTTTATCCACTTATCTATTGCTATAAAATACAGTGATTAAAAGATTACTGTTATTTTTCACGACTGTATGGCTTGACTGAGCTCATCTGGGTCATTCTTATTGGGATCTTTCATGTAGTTGAAGTCAGCTGACAACTAAGTGCTGGAATTTTCCAAAAGCTCAACTGCATAAGTTGACTTTTTCACGCAGAACATACATGGCGTCTCAACTTCTGTAGCTGAACAGATGTGGGCTGAATGTTCTCTCTCTCTCTCCCCCAATATGATATTTCCAAATGGTGAGCTCGGGCTTTCTCACAGTGTGGGGGTCTCAAGGCAGTCACACTGCCGCCACAGTGACAGGTGTCCTGAGTAGAAACTGCAGAGCTTCTATGACTTCTCGGAAGTTCAAGAGCATAATTTCTACTGCATTCTGTTGGCCAAGTAACTAAGTCAAGTCAGCTCACTTTCAAAAAGATAGGAATTAGACTAATAATGTGAAGAGCATCAGGGAAGTAAGGAATTGGTGGTAGCCATCTTCAGAGACTATTTACTCCACTTATGGATGGACAATTCCCTCTTTCTTATTGCCCTATAAAATGAATACAGCTGTGTTCAAGAAGAGTATTTATTGTAACATTGTTTATGTCCCCTCCCAGTTTAATTTTCAATACCCATCAGTAAATGGCTATGTAAATTCCTTATGTGGTAAATTCATTTCAATATGAAAAAACAGTACTAAATCTATATAAAGTGTCATCAGTAGATTTCTAATATGCATTATTGAGGACAATAAGGAAGCTTCAAAATTTTTTTTGTATAGGAGGGTACTACTTAGGCAACACTGCATAATTTCCACTAGTACTTCCCTCTTTGCACACACAAAAGTGACTCTTCTATAAAGTGATGTGCACCGCTTTGTGGATAGCCAGGTCAATATCTAGGTGAATATGGGCCGTGGATACTGGTTTCTGGATAGATAAGAAGTCTAATCTATTTCAGAATAGGAATTCCTATTTTTTAAAAGCACCAGGGAAACTATGGGATAATTTGTAACAAGAACCTATTTCTTTGTAATCACAAATATGGTCAGAGAGGATTAGTACTGGCTGAAATGATTAATAATAACCACAAATAGAGAACATTTGTTAAACATTATATTATTTATTCTATTATTTTAGTTCTGTCCATAATCCAATATGCCACATATTATTGGCCACATACAAGAAAACTGAGGCAGAGGGAGCCTACTTACGTCATCCAGGATCACATAACTAGTAAGAAATGGAATGGAAAATCATTCATTAATCAGAAATTTATTTAGCACATGCTGTAGACAATGAGAATATGAAGAAAAGCAAGGGACAATCCCTGTTCTCAAGTTGTTCATTGTAGAGTGGGGTGGAGTAAGGGGGGGGGCATATAAACAAAGTAATAATGACTTTGCAGGTGGTAAGGGCAGCTTATGCGGGTATTTATCAAGACCATCGATGACCCAAAAAAGATGGTGATTAATTCTGCATGAGTAGATCTGGAGAGGTTTCCCAGGAAGCCTGGCGCCAAAGAGGGTGGATCAACTGAAGCCCACACAGAAAGATGGAGCAGGGCAGATAGGGCAGATCAGGTCAAGGAACAGCATTGGAATATTGCTCACGAGGGAAAGAATGTTCCTTTTCCATTTGTCAAACTTTCCAATGTTAATTGGAAATTGTGTCTCTCAGGGAATTAAAGCAGATACAAGAGGCAATGATCCTAAACCAATTTAGAAATGTGCTCCTGCATCTTTGGTGCAATGACTCCTTCCAAATTGCATTAAAGGTAACCTTTCTCATGTTCACACTGAAAAAAATTCAAAGAAAAGGAAAATTTCTTTCCTAGATAGACCCTTTAGACAGCTGCAGTCTGTTTTCAGAGAACAAAATCATTAGTTTTAAACTCCAAATGGCACAAAATTTTTATCATTTCTCTATTGAGTAGATCTCCTTGAAGAGGAAATTTCTGATCTTTTCCCAGTGGATTTGAGAAAGATTGGATAGAACTGTGATTAGGGAGTAGGAGGTAAGGTAAGGGAGAGGTGAAGATTAATTTAAGAAAAACTAGACTTTCTCAACTAAGATAATTTCAAGAGCATTAAATAAACCTTCGTCAGCAGGACTTAAAGACCATTGTATTTCTTTCATATGAAGTAATATCCCTCAGTGATGAAAATCATTTAGTAAAACACCACAAACTACTACAAGGAACAATAGCATTTCCCTTCTTACCTTGATGTTCTGCAGAATGTTCCATGCGATAACCTTTGCCTTTTCAATACTGGAGTTAATGATTTCTAAATGACTGCCATATCACTCTGTCCTTTTTGCCACCCTTCCTACCATTTTCTTGTTCCAACCCATCCTGTGGATGGGCCAAAACCATCTAGTGTATATAGTTGGTAGCCCACACTTGGAAAGTTTAACCTTTAAGCAAGAACAACTGAAAGGTCCAACCAGCCTATTTAAGAAAATGAGCAAGTGGTGTTTGAATTAGAGAGGCCGTCAGGGGTTGGAACGGTGTTAGACATTTTATATTACAAGAAATAAGATGTAATCCAGCTGCTAATCATTTACAAATTAGCTTTTGGTTTATTCTAAATTGTTTGTTTTGCATAACAGAGTTGGAGCTGGCTAATGAGAGTCAGCTCCCTTCATCTTTCTGGAGCACTCTGTCCTTACTGAGATGCCTGTCAGCCAAGGAGGGGGAAATCTTCATTAAATGAGCATACAACTGATTTCCTATACAAATCATCCATAATCCACCTATAAATCGAGGTGAAATTGGCATGCTTTAAGTTCAACTGAAAAATAGTCATGAAAAAACTTAGAGAGACCAGGGAGCAGGTACGAAGATAGAGGTTATAGATTTCGTACATCCCAACCTCATGAAGATGCACATTTTTTAGACAACATTCATAATTTGATAGCAATATTGTTGGAGACACTGAAAAAATTAATTCTACTTCTTTCATTTGAAATGACAAGCACATGTAATCATTTTTTTTAAATCCATCACGGGATACTTTGCTTGCAAATATGGTAAATATGAGATGTGGGCAGGTTTGTACTAGTTTATCATATCTACTATTAAATGAATTGAATATGAATTAACTACAAATTGAATATATATGTATTGGATATATAATTGAATATATAAATTGAATATAAATTACCACAAAAATTAAGTTGAAAATCAAGTGTTTCCATGATAAATGCTATAATTTTTCCTTAATGTGGGGAATACCACGACTGATTTTAGAATGAACTGTCCTATTGTGGGGTTCTTTGGCACAAAGAGACTTGCCTGGTGTATTCTAAGAGCTAGCAGCAGATATGGTCATGGCACCTATTGCTTTTACCATACGACATGGTGATAATGGATATTTATTGTAAAGACTGTTCTGTAATTCCTGATCCCTTCTGTTTACGTTCACCACATCCATAAGCTACGAATTCTCAGACAGGACTACAGCTTCATTTGAATTTAGGCAACATAAGAGACCAGATTTTAAAAAACATATTTACCATCTCACAGAGCTCTGATCCCATTGTGCAAAAAAGACCTGCCATGAAATGTTTTGAAACCCAAACTGTATATAACGAAGGGTCAAATGCAGACGGCTTAGAACTTTTAGAATTCAGAGAAAGGAGGAATCCCATTAGCATCAAACAGTTTCTTGAAGATGGGGGTATTGAATTATGTTTTCAGAAGTGTTGAGAAATTGAAGTGAAACTCATTGAGAAAAAATGTATAGTAGTGATCAGAAATGAGGCATGGAAAATCATGCTGGAGACTGAGCTAAACCTCTGAATTTCAGCTTCCAAGTCTTTGGCCCACAACACTGCCCAGAATATCCTATTTTAAAAGCTGAATCACTCTAGGCTACCTGCTGGCATTCCATCTCCTTGGAGTTGTGGCCATGAGTTCTCGACCTCTGATCAAAAAGGTTAACATTCTAATTCTCTTGAGGGGCAGCTTCCTCTTTTGTGCTGGGGTTCCATCCAGCTGGAATTCTTAGACACTCCCTCGGTTCTTCCCTCCTACCCCAGTGTTTCCTGCTCTGCTGAATTCTTCATGCAGGTATACAAATTTGCTCTCTCCTCTCTGACGGCCAACAGCAAAGGTATCTTTAGAACCCAGCTCTGCTCTTCCTGCCTACTTTTGTGCTCTCCTTCATAGAAAAACTTCCTGAATTGATGTTTTCATTGTTTTCTCTTCTCCCTACCTGAGCCTTCTTAGCTGACTTCAGTAGACCTTTCACTGTCAGTCCTTTGAAGTTGCTCAATACAGGTATGGATGTCCTTGATATTGCCAAATCCAGTGGTCATTTGCTGTCCTGATCTTTCTTTTTTTTTTTAAAGATTTATTTATTTATACAAGAACCGGGGTACAGGCCAGAAGCACAGGAGGGTGAGAGGATTCACCAGAGACAGAGTGGGGAACAAAACAGGAAGACTGATGAAATACACTGCTGAGGGGAGCAGCGGGCGAGACAGGAGGGGTCTGCTTCACCATGTGGGATTCCTGCCGGCTGACCAGAATTGTACCTGCGCTGCAGAGGCTGCGGACAGCCTCACAATGCAGCGCTCAACCGCCTGCGCCACCAGGGAGGCCCTGTCCTGATCTTTCTTAACCTTTCAGTGAGTTTGGGCCCAGGGGTCACCACCAGCCTTCCTGACTTACTTAGTTTTCTTGGTTTATGTGACACCATATATCTGGTTATTTTTCTACTCCTTTGACCTCAGCATTTAGTGTCCTTTTCATTTAGTGTCATCTTTCATTCTCTTGTTTTGGATATGTCCAAAACAAGAGAGCAATTAAATGCTTTCTGTTTTTTGCTGTCTCATTTCTTAGGTGGCCTCATCAAGTTTTAGAACTTTAAATTTCTCTATACTTCTAGCCTCTCTCTTGACTCTGAAATTTATAAATCAACTACTTATGGCATATCATCATTTACTAATAATCCCTTATTACTATCTACCTCTCATCCCACTCGCCCCCTGTCCTGGCATAGAAGAACACCTATACCAAGGTGTTCTACCTATGTTCTACAACCAAAAGCCTAGAAGTCATTCCTTACTACCCACTTTCTCTCTCACTCATAACCCCTGAAGCATTTCCTTTTGTCTTTGCCTCCAGTGCATATCTGAAATCAGTCTGCTTTTCTTCATCCCCAAATCTACCACCGTAATACAAGCCACTATTAGCCCTCACCTCAACTACTGTAATAACCTCCTGACTGGTTTCCCTAGGCCTGACTGTTCTTGTCTCTTTACAAACTATTCTCTATGCGGCAATGATATTTTAAAACAGAATAGATCATGTTACTCTTAAAATGTTCCAAATTAATGGCTAGTTGTACTCAGAATGAAAGCTGAGTCCCTGACTGGGTCTTATATGTGCTCAGGCTATTCTCCAACTCCTGCCTGGCTTTCCCCTTGCTTACAATGCTCCAGCCACAGAGGCTCTCTTTCTATACCTTGAACACTCCAAATTTGTTTCTTTGAATTGACTGATGAATATTTCAGACACACGTTTGACTCCTTCTTGTCGGATAGATGTCAGCTCATAAGTTACCACCTCCCAGATAGCTCCTCAGATGACTGCTTTTCAATTCATTCTCTGCTTGTTTCAATTTCCCAATCAACTAGTTACTGCCTCTCATACCACTTTAAAAAAATCTTCAGATGATAAGTTAAATAAGAATGAGAAAGAAGATCGATAGTGGCATATACAGAAAAGAGAAAATGAGGCTGCCACCAGCTTTGGCTTAGTTAATTTGTATTACTCGTAAGTAAATATTAAATGAAATTTTGAGATACAATCAGACTGGTGGGCTCTCAGCTTGGAAGTAATCTTTTGAAGAAAAAAGTGTGTACAGATGTCCCTTTCTCTGGTTTCATCAATAAGTCTGAAGCTATCTGCTTCACTAATTGGAAACAAAACACTGAGGTTTTTTGCCTTTTTCAAAGAGTCAGAACATGTCTGCCACAATCTGCTGGATTCTCCACAATTAGGGAGTAAGCCCATGGTGCCATCGGGAATTCCCCAATGCAGATGCAGTAAGATGGAAAAGTGATGGCTGCAGCATCACAAAATGTTCAAAATAATTGAACTCATGGTACTTATAATAATTCTTATGGACCATTTGGTCAGCCCTTAAACCCTCAACAGCATGAAACATCTGTGGCAGGGACTCTAGATCCAGTTTTACTTGGTGGCCGAGTGAATTCTTGCATGGTTCGCAGGCTGAGGGAAATTGTTTACATTCAGCAAAAGCATCCTTAGAACTGACATCATTCGTGATTGTCAGAGACTGGTTTACAGATTCCTAGATGTGCTTTGTACTCTGATAGGACTTTGGAGAGTGTGGTCTGGTTGGTGCATGAGCATAGACATGGTGATTTGACTGTTGCTGCCTCTCTGTTTGACTCAGCAAGGAGAGCTAATTTTTTTTCTCACTTGGTAAAGCTTAAGGTGGAGGAGAAAAGACAGAGGTGACACCACGCAAACAAATTGCTCAAGTATGCTACTTAAACCACTTTCTAAAACACCCAAACTCACTGGTCATAGTTGCAAAGTGGCTATACAGCTTCTGTCAAATAAGCAGGAACTGAACATTCGAAGTCAAGGAGAGAACTTGGGTGTTTCTCCTCTTTCTCCACAATGATTTTGAGTCTTTTCTCCCCATTGAAGAAAGTCAGACTAGACATATTTCCCCTCCTAAGATAACTAGCAAGTTAGAAATGTTAAACCAGCTCTCACAAGTCTATCTTCCTTATTTTATTTTCAGAATCTGTTTTCTTCTCTTACTTATTTTTTGATTTCACTGCATCATGAGAAGCTGTAGATGTGCTTTCACAACAAATCTTGGAAGATTATCTCAAGCCCCATGATTGTGAAGGGTTTGAGATCCAATGTTCTGCATGATTATTTTAGCTCTTTTCCTTTTGTACCAAAAGCATTGGAATTTAAGAATCCATGGCCAAGGAAACATGTTTCTGAAATATTATGGAAGAGACTTTAGTTTAGTTTATCAACCCTATGCCATGAATGTAGCCTGTTTCTTGTGACTCTAGTGAATCCCAGGACTTAGACACCAGGTTTTTTTGTGTGGTGGTAGTGGTTTTCAGAAATCAATTATCATGACACAATTTTAGCTTCTGTTGTCTCAATTTGAGATATCATAGATAAACCCTGCTATTAAATCAGTTAATGGCGGGAGTAATCCCTTAAGACTAATGATTTGGTTCTTGGTGAAACCTCTGACAGGTGCCAGCTGCTGTCTGTCTCCTGAAAACAATAAAAAATAATATCTGGCCTAAAACATAATCATACCAGACACCTCAGCAGTTATGAATTCTGCTGCTGCACCCTTCAGAAGAGAGAAAAGAAAGCAGATGGGGCAAACACAGTTAGTATAACTGTTATTGGTCTTTAATGAACTTGTTAATTTCAACATATGGGGAATATTATGCACCTGAGGGAAGAAATCCTATATTATTAAAAAAAAAAAACAAAAAAACACAAGGTTGTTTAAAAAAATTAAAAGAAATATTATGTTAAACACTTATACAGGCATTGAACCAGGTTATTTGTGAAAAGAAGGGTGGTCACCACTATCTTATTAGAAAACATATAACAGTTGGATGCATTTTTCAATCACAAATTATTTTTTACAAGATTAAATTAAAAGGGTAAAATATTAGCAAAAATGTATACTTCCACCAATAAGTAAATGGTTAAGTAAATTTTGCAATACCTATAATCATTAAGTTTTATTTATAAGACTATAGAAACATGAAAAATACTAATGTAATATATGCTAATACTAATTTTGTGTGTGTAGATGTGTTGAAAATAATGTATTATGTCAATTCAAAATGAAAGCAGTGTAGAAAACTGCATGTCTGAGCATATCTTTATAATGCCATCAGTTACAACACTTATATAATAAATAAGAGATATTTCTAGAATAAAGAAACTGGGAGAGGGCCTCCCTGTTGGCCTCGGGGTTAAGTCTCAGTGTTATTACCACTACAGCCTGACTTCGATCCTCAGCCAGGGAGCTAACCCACATGGCTCAGCAGACCTCTTCTGTCTCACGCGCTGCTCCCCGCAGAAGGGTATATCAGTAGATCCGCCTGTTCTGCTCCCCACTCTGTCTTTGGTGAATCCTCTCACCCCCCACACCTCTGGCCTGTACCCCAGCTCTTGAATGCGTAAAAAAAGAAACTGGGAAATATAATCCATACATTCAACAAATCTTTATATAGAAGTCATGCATTTGTTAGGATAGAGTAGGCAATAATAAGAAATAACCCCCAAAGAGTATAGTGGTTTAACTATCACAGCCCAAAACAGATATTTGTGATTAAAGGAGGCATTGCTGAGTAGTGAACTTGGTTCCTTTTACCTCATGGCTCTGCCACCACCCAGGACCCCAGATTTTCCTCTAACTAGTACTGATAGGGAAGAGTACGTAAAAAGAGGGAAGAGTACGTTTTCAGCATGTTTCTGAAAACTCTTGGCCTAATACATGTCATTTGTCACATGCCATTGGTGTCAGTTTGTTAGATGGCCCTATTTAAAACAAGAGTCTGAGAAATGTAGTCCCTGGATGGGCAGTCTCCCCCTTATGTTAACACAAAGTTTTGTCACAGATTTTCCTGGAAAGTTAGAAAGTTCTGTTAAGCTTGAAAGAGGAGTGGCAATGAATTGGAATCCAGGTCTCCCTGACTCTACAATCTAGGGTTTTAACTACCAGGGTGTTTTGGACTAAGAATAATAGGCATTTACAAATGGGTTTTGACAAAGCACTTCTAAGCCAATAGCTTTAATGCCTTAGGAGATTTATGTTATCCACTAGAAACCCTGGGTTGGCAACTGAGCTTTCTGAGTGACACACTTCCCCAGCTCCTTAGCAGTGCAAGGCACCAGTGAGTCCTCCCCAGAGCCCTTCGGTGGGTACCATAATGGAAGATGCTGCCACCTTGTTAAGTGAAATCATTACAGCTTTGGGGGCCAAGATCTCATGCAAAGAAATAAGGAACCACTCTTTAGGAGTAGAAATCATTGCAATAATGATTGAATGTGAGCTACAAGTCATTACCTTGTCTTATT